CCGTCCATGTGATACTTCCTGCGGAGCCAGATGGACGAGCACCTGCATAGAAACGAGTAGTCAACCGAGATACAACCTGTTCGAGCACGCCGTAACTTCTGGACGATTCCTTCCACAGTTATTGGTCCTATTCCTCTATCTGCGCTAAGAGCGTAAGAGCGCCTGGGATGACACATGGGAAGACGTCTGTGAAAGCGATTTTCTCTCGTTCCTTTTGCGTTGCAAAAATGCAAAGGCATCGCGAAATTTCATCGCGAAAGGTAAAAAAAAAGAGAGACGCACCTATAATTTCTTTAATAAGATTGAATATCGTCTTCGAGATCTAACAAGATGTAAAAGGTAAACGAAAAGCCATTTCCTTCCGTTGATATAGTATCGGTCGTTCCTTTAAGCGAAATTAATAAATCGCTAGGATCACGCTACGGAGTTGGGGCGCATAATTTGACTTCTACTCCCGGAGAGCTCGGAGAAAGATAATGCGAATTCACATACGGCGATCCCATGCATCGCGTCTACACGAGAGCGGTGGATGGAGATGGAAGGAGCGCGCGCGAGAGTTAAACGGAGTCTTGGTCAGGGCCGTTGGCAGCTCGGGGTCAATGGCCAGGCGGCGCCTGCCTGCGAGATTCTTCATCGGTCGAACGAGAGATAGTGGGGCAGGTCGTGCTTGCAACGACGTCGAGGAAAGAGGAAAACGAACGATAAGGAATATAATGAAAAATACGTCGTCAAAGATCGCGAAAAAATCGCTCTTGCGCGTCTCGAAAGTTTTTTAGCGACCCCGTGGAAAACGTTTCGCGAGGGAATAAACGTGATTTGTGAGCAAAGTTTAATCGCGCGACAGCCGCACAAATCCTCGAATTAATCTCGCATATGTCTGAAATTAATCGCGTAAAGTCTCGGACGTAGCTGTGCAAATGCATCATTAATGATGCGCGTCTCTGAACAGCTGCATCCTGATGCGGAGATTTCTGAATTATTGTTGTCCCATTTGTCCCAAACTATGAGATATTAGTTTGAATATATTTGTTATAGAGTTTGAACTCTGAGAATATATTAGTTTCCGTTTTCCAGATACTACTGTGTTATATTTAAAAGCTAAAATGAATAACATTGCAAGCGATATTCCTGGGGGATTCGCAATATTGATTTCCCCCATTGCAGTTAAGAATTGCTTTTGATTTTAATCCTGGCAAAAATAATGTCTCCTCCAACGTCACAATAATATTAAGAGCTTTGTTAAATGAATAATTTATATTAAATGCGAAATGTACGCGCTCGTAAATAAAACGCGAAGGAATATTAATCGCATTCATTAAATCTCTTTCTCTTCTTGTTGAGTTTTACTTTAGCTAGCGCGAATACTTGCATACGATAAAGCAAAAACCCATCTCGCAGTCGGCGAAGATCGGAATGACGTCAACAACAACGATGAAGAGAAGCGAGATGGTCACGCCGCAATGACTTTGCACCTGAGAAATGAAGTACTTCGTCCGAGGGCCCTCCCTTTCCTCGTTTAAATTGTCTATTGTCGCGATCTCGCGTACGCTAATGGGATTTTGATATCGGGTTTTCTCTGTCCTCGTAGAAGGGCGATTCCGAGAAATCAGGATACCGTGCCAATGATCGGGCCGAGGTGCATCACTCGAGCACACGCTACGCGAAGGTCGCTCGGCGCAACACGATGGGATTGCATGGAATCATTCGGGGCAGTCGGCCAATAAAACCGAGCGCCATCCGGCGATCGTGCAGATGGAGTTTTATACGAGACTGTCGGGCAAAAGTAATAACCAGAGTAAATTGAAGCGTACTAATAAGCGTACACGGTAGCGAGAAAAGTTACATGGTAAAAAACGCGAAAGAGACGGCTACGCTATAAATATCATGTGAAGGAAGCTGAGATATATCACGAGAGGAAGCAGTTGAATAAAGTGTGGTAATAAAAATGCGAAAAACTCATATATAATGTGCGCTAATAAAGACATTATCTTTCAGAAGAGCTAGGGATGAACGTTCGAAGGATGCATTGATTAGTAGACATATTGTTAAACAAAATTAGATTGGCGAATATAATTTGAATTGCTCGTTTTTTATTTCGGAAATATGATTCTGCGTTGAATGTATAGTTGAGCATTACTCAAATTTACGGTTGGCAGAGTCTAAATTACATAAGAAAAGCACGTGCTGTAGGAGAAGGTCTACTCATTAGTAGACCAGTAATTATCAACGTAATAATAATTTCAAATCAGTAATCTATTCACACACAATATTTGATAATAACGTGGCAGCAAAATATGAGGGGAAAATGTAATACACAATTAAATGTAGTATACAAATGTAATATACAATCAAAATTAATGTGCGTTATAAAAATCGTCAGAAAATGTGTTCAGCAGCAATTTTCATCTTCTTGTCGAGGATTAATCAGAATTATGCAGTAGTCTATATATAGCACATGTTACATGTAGATAATTAAAACGCATTTCGTAAATATAATTAAAACACATTTCATACAAGTAGGTGCAATAAAGTTGGATATAAAGCCGCTCAATAATAAGTACAAATTTATAATTATATATCATTTATTTATTGTGGTGATAAAATTAATTTTAGAATATTCTAATTGACTTGTTTTTTTTTGCTTTGCATATCTTATTCATTATATCTTCAATTAAGTAATGTAATGAAATAAAGATGAATGTAAGCCTTGTAACATCTTGTTAACTGCTATTAACTGAAGTTTTACGCACAACAACAGGCAATTTTACGGTTTCTTTCTTTGCATTAAGTGTGTGTTCAAACGGTGCAAACCAGTAAAATTTTACCATACTCTCGTCACGTCGCTTGCACACGTAACATAATTAATCGAACTCTCACTCTGAGTATAATATACAATATTCTTTGTGGATCAACATTTTTAATAACTTTTATATCAATAATAATTTCTTTATAATAATTCTTTTAAAAGTGTTTCTGTAAAAGTTATAAATCAGTATATTGTGACAAATTTTATTCTCCGTTTTCACATTTTTTCAGTAAATATAGAGAATAATAATAAATAAGAATAAATTTTTCACTAAAAAATATATAAATGGCGTTCTCTAGTTTAAAAATAGTGTATTATTTCTCAGAAATAAATGATTGGAAATGTCGCAAAAAAGTAACTTTGTAGTGCGGAAGATATTAAAAGAGACGTTACGCTTCTCTGGCATTGAACTCTCTGAATCGAGTGAACTAACTCCGACGTCGAGGTACAACTAACAATGAAATTCTCACAATTGCTCAGCAAATAATTTCATAAAAACTTCACAAATAGATTTAATTTACTATAATTTATCTATATATATATATCTGTGAATAAAATTATATAATTATATAATTACATTTTTATTAATCGCAATATATATCGAGCCCTTGAATTAATTTTTTTTCTGTGCATTAAATACATTTCTCTTTAGCGTAATTTTGGATTCATGTTCTATTAACATTGGTTATTTCATAAAAGAGTGCACAATTACGTTGTTTCTTGACTCATAAACTGAGGGTCGATGGACTTGCGAGATACGAACGAACGAACAGAGGTACCAGCATGAATATTCGGCACACGTACACTTCGAATATACACGAAATTGCTTATCTTGAACGCGTACGTTTCTTATTCAAAAAAAAACTATGGACGTTTCTTTATAATATTCTTATAAATTATAGAGTTTTAATTATAAAATTAGAACAATCGTCAATGGATATCATTAGGAGGGAAAAAATTCAGCGTACAAATCAGTTGTATCACGACGTTAAAGTCTTCGGGCATTCATTTTCTCGCATTCAACTATAGAAAGAATAATCTCTTCGACCTTGAAGGGCTATTCCATTCGCGGCATCGCTCTTCCTCTCTCTCTTTTTCTCCATCTCTCTCTCTCTCTCTCTCTCTCTCTCTCTCTTTCATTCGTTACGCGAGCGCAAGGTTAATCCATGAACGCGAGGCGAATCAACGCCGTGAACGAGATCGAGAATCAAGCAGTGCGTATGCGTCACATGCCCCTTAAGAGAAGAAATGAGTTTCGTTTTCGCGCCCTCAGGTGCAGCTTACGTGCGCACTTGTGTCTTGCATTTTAAAGAAATCCTACCTCTCAGTAGGCTCATGATATGCAACAATAATCCTCCAAAGTGTTATGCTTGCGCACAACTGTATTTGATACGCTTATGCGGGATACTAATGAAGGAATTGAAATAATATGCGTTTCTTCATTAAGATATATAAGTATACAACTAAAGATATGATGAAAGGAAGCTTGCGTTAGTTATCGATGTTTAAGAGTATATTAACATGTACCTTGCACCAAGGCAAACTACAAGGGCATTAATCATCTCATTCTTAAAAGAGATTTTTCTCTCTCGAGGGAAGTGCTTCTTATGTATGCTCTTGTAACATCCGCGTGCTATTACCGCGGTTGTTCAACAGCTACGGCCCTGACTTTGAACCGTGCTCTCACCGTGGGAATGGCGGCCGCGAGAAGTGTCGGCGTGAAACTCATATTTTACACGATCAGGCGCGATTCTCTCCCGTGTCGTTATTCGTGAATTTATTATCCGTATATTTGTGTAAACAATGTAATTCTCTACTCTCTGTAAATGATACGTTTTGCTTATTCCACCATCTTTCGGAGCACTATATATGATATAATATCCTCACTGCTACAAAATATATTGCTATTCAGTAGCGAGCAATTCGAGGTCAATCGACTGGACGAACGTCCCACATAAGGCACCGCCGAGGAGGACCTTCGCCGTGAACTTTCGCACGTTCTCCAAGCGCAATCACTTCTCCATATCTCGCGACCCGACTCGGGATCGTTGAGCGATCCCTCATCCGCAGACCTCTCTCATCCAACAAACCCATTTAGTCATCGACACTTTTTATCACGTCGAGGTACCTCGCCGGCTGTGCCTTCCGTAACACTTTTCGCACCAGAATTAGCAGCACGAAAATTCTCACGTACCTTGACCGGCTATCCACAGACACCACGATCCCAGATCCAAGTTCACGCTTCGTTCTCTAATCACTCGATAGTTCTAATCACTGGTACTGATTTCCTCAAACTTTGTCGAACCCGCAAAGTGTCTTTCGTTGGCAGAGATATCGACGACGCGTCGATAAGAGATCTCTCCGCCAAGATACCGGGCCGATCACACGCGACTTAAACACTCGATGTCCGATCCCTCGAGCCTTTGATATAAGAAAGAAAAAAAAGACGCTCCTGTTGACTGGACTGTCGGCACGGCTCTGTCTTCGAGGCAGCGCATCCGCCTGACTTTATAAACCAAGCTGGCCGAGTGGTGGTCGCGGCTGCTTGCCGCTTATAACTGGAGAACGATTGGAGAACGCCGGTTAAAGGCTGACGCGGATTGGCCCGTGGATCTAGCGGTACCCTGACTCGATCCTGGGGGATCGACTGCCTCCGCGGAGCCGCGATGTTTCAATGCGCCTCTCTTCCTACAGCCCGACTAGTTACTCGGCGTAATTAGGGAACAGTGACATTTTACCGTTTTTCCTTCTCTTTCTGTCATTCGCCTCAATCGCGTTATCGGCCAACCGATGATATATGTGACCGATGATGAACGTGGGGAAAGAAAAATCTGACCTCGCTAAGCGTCAGGCATACGGATTAGGTATAATGACACTAGAAATGTGACGTGTATATGCGAGGAGGAATCAATTCCAAATCATAATATTTCCATAACTGTTCTTTCGACTCAATTCAATATTTTTTCAAGATAATAAAAAGAAAGACTCACATGCATGACCGAGAGATGTAGGTAGGTCTCCTAAACTAACATACCACTATTTCTTGACGAATGGCTTATCACATATAAATTTAACTCACTTAAATAACTTACTTGTCAAAAACGTATAGTTTATATATTTGTTGATTATTAATATATGTGGAATTGATTTGTAGACAAAAGTTTTCTAAATTTAAAAGTGTTTTTAATTTTTCCATCGATGATATCATTAAAATATGACAGAGAATATCTTTATATTATTTTTTATAATATAATGTTATACATTTTATTTCTGTTATGTTTTTATTTTCTATATTATAATTCTTATCATGTTTCTATGCTTTCATGAATATGTCGATTTTATAAACGAGTTTCTCAATTTTTATCCGGTTTTAAAAAGGAACAGCAAAACCGAAATAATATTTTAAAAGTTGTGATATAATCCGACAGAAAGCAATAGTTAGTTAATATCAATAACATATATATATATATATATATATATATATATATATATATATAACATATATATATGTATAACATTACTTTTAAATTTTCAACTAATTGTAAGACTAGAAGTTACAATAAAAATTGTAAAAACAAGATAGTATATCAACATTCAAAAAAATATTTTGTATAAAGGAAGATTATAAGAAAATAATCATATAAGAGAACAATATTTACAGGCGAATTTCGTGTTTCGCATTTAATTAAAGGGTGAAGGTCATAGTTGTAGAAAAATGTTCGCGTTGCAGTGATTATTAGACATGCGCGGGAGTTAATTTTTTGACAGACTTGACGGATCGTGGAACATACGATATTTAGCGTATGCACTTACGCTAATAATATTCATCGTCCGTTATCGAGCGACGTCCATAACGCGATGAGTAGACATTACACGGTGCATTATTCCCGATGGCGGGCATGCACGAAGATCGGTCATGCGTGGAATAATCGGCATTATAAATAAATCGAATGTTAAATAAACGTGCCCCGACAGTCGATGCCGCGAACGTATAATTTCAGGCGAGCTGTAAAGAAGACGGCGCAGGGTTCACGGTAGCATCGAGTGCCGCCGTAGATTTTTCCGAGACGTCGCGAGAGAGGAAGAAACTCGTAACTTGAACGGCTGCATAGAAGATGCAGCACCGTAAACGTAATGGCAGTCGCGGATCCGTCAGCCCTCGATCTGCGAGGCTGTTATCCACCAACTTGAACGGAGCGAGGGAGTCGATGGGATTTGCCGCGATGGAATGCCGACCGAAATAACTATCCTTCCCCTTCGAGTCTTGAAGAAAGAGAATCGTGATTCCCTAGCCAATTTAATATAAATTTTTTTTTCATAATTTATATATAAGCTATGGATTTCTCAGTAAAATACGATTTCAAGCAAAATAATCTTTAAATTTATGTGAAAAACTTTAGATAAAACTATATGTAATTTTTTATGTAAAGCTATATATGTATTATTTATTATTTATATATATATATTTTTTTTATGTAGGCGTGATAACTTTTTTTTTTAAATGGATGTGATACATATTTTATCAATGTCTTAGGCTTTAATTTTTAAGGCAAGACGTTATATATACTCGTGACAGGTGCCATAACTTATTTTTGGAGGGTCGTGTTATGTCGAGATTTCGCCGCATCCTTTCTTCGCGGTCCTTCGCTTACCAGAGGATCGATTAATAGCAGGACGATTTGAATTTACGAGCCAGTCTTGAGCAACGTATCTGGTTCACCAAAGCGCATATACCACTCTTTGGATATATGATCGTTGATCGGATGATATTTATAACATTACACGATCGCAAGAACCATCATAAGCCATCGATGACAAGGAATCGATTTTTACGAATAAAAGAAAGCATCATGTTACAACAGTTGAAATGGATTCGTTAAAAGCAGTCGATTTCAGCTCGAAATAACTGTAAAGACTGATACCAATCGAGAAAGCCCTCTTCGCTGATACGGTCGTAAAGTTATGCCTTATGGCTCAATATTGCCATTAAGATTATATCCGAGGAAATTTAAATTTAATTGAAATTAAAGACTCGTCAATTTTTCAAATGACCGTGCACTTGGCGGTCGCGAGAGTGCAGATCAAAGTAAAGATACAGCTTTAAGCTTCCGCGATGAAATCCGAAGAAGCGAACACATCTTCGTTGCGTTTCGACGAAAATAACGGCGCATGCATATTAAGTTTTTATTTACGTTAATGTTTATTGGACGAATGATCAAGTTATAACGCGCTCGGGGAAATTAAGTTTTTCTTATCACATTTGATATTATTTCTCATGTAGCTATATAACTGAACGGTGTGTCGAGGATGTTGTTAAAAGCTGCAGGCAGCAAAGAAATTCTGCGAACAATATTGCAGACACTTTAGCCCGTTGCCCAGAGTTCTTTTTCCTAAGAAAATCTCGAGGAGCAAATTGAAGATCCCCAGTCTTAATGCCAGTCGTTATACACACGCGAGCATCGTTACCGACTCGCACGGGAATTGTCAAAGGAAAACCGAGGGAAACCGCGAGTTCATCTACGTTTCCTCGGGAGGTCGATTATGTTTGCCGCGATATCATTCTAATTGTCTAAGTAGGACAGAGGATTAACGAAAGATATAGACTTAAAAGAAGATAGCAATTTACTCTCTAATTATATAAAAGAGAACAAATAAATATACAACTCACACTTTTATCTCTTGCGAGATACAATCTCGTGCAAGAGCAATAATAAAGCACCCTCTGTCCCATGGATCCATGTCCAGTCATTGATAGGAAGAAAGATAAACACGCTAGTCCCGCAAAAAAAGTGAATGGCACTTTCGTATCGGACGAATCAGGTTACAGCGGATGAGGAACATTTAGCCAGGTTGTGATTTAGTAACGGAATTTACGAGGTGATCTTAGGTGGTTACCGTCATTGATTATTTAATTTTTGTCCTCTTCGCGTCGTTAAGTTCTTTGCGTCTTTCCTTTTTCCTCCAAGCTTAAAAGAGATTCCAGTTTTTATCTTCTTGTGTGTATGCTACGTCTTTCTCTTTCGCTTATCTCTACACCTGCTATAAAAGCCAGCATGCTGTAACTATTAGAGATAGGACTCTTTAACGGTTGATCTCTTCTTTAACAAGTTTTCGCGGCAATTCAATGGAAAGATCATATATTTGAGACATACTTGGATAAATGTAATTAAATGTGTTTGACGAATTCATGCTTTTCAATAGACTTAGTTAAAAAGTTAACTAAGCAGGCAGGAATAACGAGACTTGATAAAAATTAGCGGTCCTATTTTGAAAACATAGTTTGTCGGCACGATGAAGAATTGCGCGATTTATGATGAATCGACAATATGGGCATCAACCATGAAAAGAACCGCTCACGAACAACCGAAATCAGCGATGTTAATTAGTGTCTAACATTTTATGCTCGTTGATCTATGCGTGTATTAGTGTACGGTGTCCATATGGTGCAATGTAAATGGACATTCTATAAAATCAAACAAAGTTAGATATCTAATTGTGGAGTTTTATGATTTTTTCTGCTTCAAAATGCAAAATAATTATTTTTCGTATTTTTCGCAACAATGAGAATAGTTTTTTATTTAACGAGAATATTGATATAGATCATGCTATGTAATTTATTTGAATTTTTTAATTGTAATAATAAAGAGAATAACTGATCTAATAATAATATCTAATAAAAATCTAATAATAAAGAAAGTAACTGATTTAATTATAAATTTTGACACGTTTTGGTTTACGATATATTTACGCAAAGATAAGTCCCCTTTTCGACTATAATTTTTGCATCATAAAGCTTTCATGTGGTTTAGCGCCTCGTACAGTCAAACAATGCTAAAAAAAGAGCAGTAGAGAATCGCGATACAACTACTGAATGTAATAAACCACGACTACCATTTTCGCGAGCTTACGCCATAAATATTGCAACGGTACAAGAGAGATGTACAATAGTTGTTAACGATATAATGAATGCCTAGTTTGTTGTACGCGTGTTTGATTCGAATGAATAAAAAACGAATGGATAAAAAACGAATGAGTAAAAAACGAATGGGTAAAAAACAAATGGATAAAAAACGAAAACCGTTAAAACAAAGCTCAAATTATATTTTTATGAAATTTACAAAATATTTTGCAACTTCTGGATTTGTATATTTTTTTTACTGTAAAATATAAAAATCGATGAATCATTTTATTTTCAGTTTAAAAGTTTATTAGTTTACGATAAAAATTTATATCTAGAAATATATATATATCTACAAAATGTTATTTTTTATTATATATTATTCCTTATTTTTTGTCACAAAATATGTTTTAAATAATTTTAAATAATTTTGTTTCGAATTATTCAGCAAATTAAACATGAACAAAAGTTCAAGTTTTAGAAATTATATCGAAATTAACATATCCATTATAAAAACAATGAAAATAATGATGAAAAAGTAAGAAATAGAGATAACAAAATTTGTAAGTCTAAAACATATGTAAAATAATTTTATT